AAGGAGATAACGAGCGCGATAAGAAAAGTCTTCTCTACCGGCCTTAACCCTCTGCGTCCAAATACGAGAAAAAAATATACTTTTTAAGAAGGCATTCTCCATTCTTCTCTACAATTGTTTTCCAACGATCTACAATACAAGCTTGTCGATTCTATTTTTGAAAAAGGAGCTTGGTTTTCCTAGAAAAAATTTCGTGAGGTGGTTTTCGACAGCTTCCTCGGATTTCAAACTTTCGCCATTCAAACTATTCTGCAAAGACCGGAACAGACGATATTCTTTGAATTTCAATTAATTTGAAGTAACTTTTATTTGGGATTGTACGTATAGCCAGTATATCCTTAAAAAGTCAGCGATATCTCGTGAACTTTGTTAGAATGCTGGGATAATTTCGATTCCTCGAAGAGACGTTAGAGAAGCGAAGGAGCAGCGTGAAACAAAGACGACAATAAAAATAATATGCTAAAATAACATATACGTACATGATAAAATATAATACATTTTCTTCCTGTGGAAACGCGATGCGCCAGGGACTTAACGCGCGTACAAGTCCCCAGACGCAATAAAATATAAAGCTACAATACAATTAATTAATGTGAGCGGTATGTCGCGGCGTGGACGGGACAGCGAGATTGCAAATGACGCAACAGCTCCCCAACACTAGGCTCGCTACAGAAGCATGAGTAAAAAAATATATCCGTAAATAACATTTATAAAAAGTAAAGAGCATTATCTATACTTAATAACAAAAGTCAGACCGTGCTCGTCTAATAATCGTTAAGGGACTCGTTAGATCCTAGATACAACAGGGAAAATATTAGGAGTAGGAATCAATATTAAATATCAGAACAGAGAGAAAAGAAGAACAACTCAATGTGTAACGCATTATGAAAAAGAATAAAATACAAGAATATATGAATTTTATATAGTATTAACCCAAATTATGTATTTATATTCGAGCTTATAAGTTTAAACAATATGGATTAAGATCAATGTGAAAATAAAAAAGTCAATATAGCAGGATGTAGGTAGCCACCGTAATGGTTTGTGTGAATTTATGTACACACACACATATATATATCTGTATATATGTATATGTAATATACTGTTTCCAACACGTCCTGCGCGCCGAATACTGCCAGTTTTAAAGTAGGATTGGTAATTTTTTTCGAAGCTTCAACATTCGAACTTCCGAAATCTTCGAAGCTTCGAATCTTCGAAGTTATCAAAAGTAACAGTCCTATTTTAAAGCGCAGTTTCCTCGGTGAAACAGCAAAAATCACGTACTTTTTAAATCGACACGCGATTTAGACATTTTGATTTAAATCGTTTATCAATTAAAAACAACAGCTTTAATACTTGTTCCTATTCCTAACGTTCCCTCCATTGTGCGCAGGGCCTTAAGAACTTGACACAACCGAGGGATCTTATCGTCGGGAAATAATCTCTTTATCCCGTCCAACCGGGAATCTCGGTCGACTCGGCCGGCCGCCTCCGGCGCGTCGCTTCCTTTCCTTCCTCTTTTATGTATATCGTCGCGCCACGGGGCCCGAAAATCTCTCGCAATCGTGCCTCGGACGTATGGCACCGAGAGCGGAAGTATAGTACGATACTTCCGCAGGATATGAATAAAAAAAAAAAGGGGAGAGAGAGAACGAGGCGATAACGAGAATGCGCCTTGCTCCGAGTAGGAAAGCACGGCCGATATCGGGCGCGCCAGTACCCGTCCGCGTTATCGCGCGGCATATTATCCAGACGATGACTAGATAATATTCGGAGGAGGAGGATGGGGGGAGGAGGAGCGCGACGTGGAGGGAAGTCGCTCCGGGGCGACTCTCCGTTTCATCGTGACACATTTATTTCGCATCGGGCGCCCTCGATTGGCGCAATGACGCGCAATAATCGGCGACGGGGCACCCACCCCTCTCGCGGCGCGAGCGGGATTAACAATTAACGCAAACCACGCGTTTCCGCGCGAGATCTGCTCGTGTCTCGCGTCGATGCAAACAGACGGTTGAGCGCGATAAAGATAAGATTATGGCAATTACATGAAATCTCTCGAACGACACGCGGGATGTGATTCGTCGAAAGGTACGCAGATGTTGAATAACATCCCCCTCCCCCCTTCCTCCCCCCCCCCCGCATGAGATGTTAAGAAGAAACATCGTCGCTCGGATTCGCCTCTTGATTGTATGAGAGAAAGCGCGTGGTACCCGATACATCCTGTTAGATATCTGCTTTGACCTGCTTCGTACCGCGGATCGGATGTCGTCGATGAGTACGCGTGTAATCGCACGAGACCGCCGATTACACAGAGGAACCCCTTGGGAAAAATACTGTCCCGTATTCTTTTCCTATACGCTTCTCCAAGTCCTAGTCCACAATAGACGATTTAAGTCCTGAGCCTTAAGAAATTGACCAATCGCAGTATTCCCCTCATTTTTTTGACTGTGATTGGTCAATTTCGTAGGACTCGGGGCTTAAATAATCTATTGTGGACTAGGACTAAAGCCCGTGTCACACTATGTATTGCGGACGCGGATTGGATTACGGATCGTACAAATAGACAGTCATCTATCCTGTGATCTGCAATCCGGATCCCAAGTTGCCTCGCTGTGATTGGCTGAATTTCGATCCGCAATCCGTAATCCCAATCCAATCCGCGTCCGCAATACGTAGTGGGACACGGGCTTAATGGATGCGGTTGCCCGATTTCGCTCGGTATATATCCTAAACGAGGGAATGTTGTCAAAAGTACACTCGTCCCTCGACTTTCGCGGAGTATTCGTGGTTGGAATAAAAAAAACTTACGTGATTAAAAAAAAACATTTTTTAAATACATAAAAAAAATCGTGTATGTCGTAAAAAAATGTGTATTTCACATGTTTGCGTAGAAACAATAAAAATAAAAGCAGACAAATTTGTTATCACTTGTGCGGATAAGGTTTGCGTGCTCTCCACAAGTCAATCAAAAGAGGTCAGAATGATAGAAGTGTTAATCAAGTGAGAACCTTTTGGCTCGCCGATAATTTCAATAAATGCCACAGAAGCATTTTCTGACCTACGTATAAAAGGTAACCGCGTAAACAGAGGGACTGTTTATCGCGATATAAAAAGAAGAAACTACCGTTTTCACGTTATCTGGATAAAATCATCTAGACTTTTATCCAGATCATTGGCTAGTTTATCTTTCATTTATAATTAAAATATGTGACATCTTTATCTGTTTCTCAGAAAAGATAAGTAGTACTTTTTTTTTATGGAAAATGAAAGATAACGTGCGCATTGAGTGCAATTTTCCTCGCGTACCGCGTTAGGTACTCGATCGTGTCACGATGTCTACAGGCCGGATATTGTAACTACACTTGCGTAATATCAGTGCAGCACAAGTTTAGAGTTCGTGCAAGTCTATGTATCCGAATTCGTTTTAGCACTACGTGTTTGAAGAACGCGCTGTCAGCGCTATTGCGTTATTCTATCCTTGTTTTACGTATCACGAGTAATAAAGATAGAGGGTGTGTTCCCATTTCCTTTCGGTACTACTACAGTATAACTAGTAGATCCACTCTCTGTCGGCCTCTTTGATCTTTGCGTTCCCGATCAAGTGGTATTCCGCTGTCATTGGTTCCCGATAGGGAAATTTCTCAAATATTGTGCAATAATTGCATCATCCAAAAGGAGGAAATTTCACAATGATTGCATTAAGGTGATTCGTCAAAACGCAGCGGCTCTGTAAGCATAAAATTTCTAAATGGCATTTGCCTAACAATTGATAATCTCACTTTAGGGGAGAAATCGTGCACAATTACTTCGACATTTAGTAGCAAAGCTGCCCAGCAACACAGTTACATGTAATAAATGTTTAAAAAAGATTTAGCGTGGGACGTGTTTACCGCTAGGCCTGCTTTTATTATGACATGAATCTTCATTCAAAATTGCTTGCAATTTTTCGTCTTCGAACTTCTTCTCAGGTCTCCCACGTTCTTGTTGTCAAGATCGAAATCACCTTTTTTGAAACGTTTTTTGAAACTCAGCGTATGTGTGTGCGCGTGTGTACTCATCAAACTACACTACCCCACAAACAACTTTTCTCTCATTGATCTGCCCAGTGCAATGTGCAGAAGGGATCGACGCAAAACGAAACAAATGACGGAGTGGATCTACTAGTTATACTACGATACTACTGTGAGTACTGGACGCTATTACTGAATTCAGCGTCTGAGAAAATCATTCCCAGACCTCCTTCGTAATAACACAGCAGTTATTCTTTTCTAAATGCAACCATTCACACTTCTTTGAGACTGAATGCTCGAAACTATTGAGAGTACTGTTAGTAGTACTGAGAGGAAATGAGAACACACCCAGAATAGTGCAATAGCATTGATAAATCGCTCCCTGCGCCCTAAGGACTTTTACAGACAGGACGCGTCACCGCGTTAGGAACAACGCGGTAACTAATCAGCGTTTTGCTCAAGAGTGTATTACTTTTATGTATCTTACGTTGTTTTAGATGTTATCTTAAAAATATCTAGATACAACACTCATTCATATTTTATCTAGATATGTTTAAACCGGCTTTATCTTTATTTTATCTGAGATTCTTGCGCATACGTTTTATCCAACCTGTACCTAGAGTATTTAAAGCGTTATCTAAGCGCAACGCTGACCGCTTGTAAAAGGTGCCGCGTAAATCGAGGAACGGGCGGGAAATTAGGCGCGCTTACTCGCTGGTAAACGTACGACGAAAACGCGAACGATTAATATTCTAATGTAGAATAGTTTAGCACTGGGATATATACATTTAAAAAAAATAGAAAAAAAGAGCCAGAGGTCGACAGAGAACCAGTGTAGAGGCATTTGTGACTACCTCGCGCGCAGCGGACACCTCTCTCCCTTCTCGGGAAAGTGAAGTTTCTACGTATTACGGGAGGCGGGGAATAATATTTTACAAAATTAATTCTACGACAATAAAAATATTTCTTTGGAATTCAGAGAGAGAGAGATATATATATATATACCATATATATAAAAGATACAAAGTGACACGGACTCTGTCTTCCAGCCTCCGGGGATCCCTCCGGAACGAGGAGTTATCACTTTCGTTCGACCTCTGTGAGAAAAACCTAACTGGGTGACACGATTGGGTGCATCGTGTAAAAATTCAAGCGACGAGATCTCTATGCCGTGCCGCGGCACACAATTTCTCACTGTAGTCTCCTCTCTGTGTGCGCGCTCGCGCACGTGTGTGTGTATGTGTGTGTGTGTGTGTCTACCAGCCACTCATTGGCACTTGAACCGAATGTATGCGTGCGTGCGCGAGGTCGTCAGTGAAACGACGGCTGCCGTCCAGCCGTGGTGCGCATTTAAACCGGCACTCGAATCGCATTAAGGCGGTAACGATCGCACCACTTGGTTCGCCAGGGTCAAGCGTAGGACCTTCGTCGCCTTCAGCCTCGCCGGTTATCTCTTACACTTACTCTTACCGTCGAGCAGCTTCTTCCACAGGTCAAATTGCTCGCTGTACTTGACCATGTGTATGCTGATGCCGCGCTGGATGTTGCAGGCGGTGTACTGTATCCGCTTGTTGAGGAACTCGTTGGCGTGGGAGCGCCTGATGCCGAGCCGGTGCGCGACGATGCCCGTGGTGAACACGTCTTCGAGCTTCAGGTACGTCTGGTCCAGGGCGGCGTCGTACAGACGGCGCACCGTGTCGCTCGACAGCAGGTACGCCGGCCCGGTGGTGAAGTCCGGGAACACGGGCTGCTGGAACTGCGCCTGCGACACGTAGTACTTGCTCTTGCGATTCCGGATCGGCTTCCACTTCCTGGCCAGCCGGCCGAATATCACGTTTCGATCCTTTGCGTGCTTGTACACGAACGCGAGCAGTCGTGGCACGTTGATGAACATGTCGTCGTCGGTCTTGAGCAGATATTTCACCTTGGGGCAATAGGTGTCGACCCACTCCAGCGTCGAGATGGTCTTGAGCGTGAGATTAGAGTACGAGTCGAGGAAGCGGCCGCGTATAACGTCGTTGTACATATTCTGCTCCTTGCGCAGGATCGCCTCCACCCGAGCGTCAAAGGTGGTGCCGAGCATGAAGAGCACGCTCATGTCGCTGCGCTGGCCAAAGTGGCCCCAGGTCTGCCGGATCGCCGTTCGCGCTTCGAGGTGGGTCGGCGCGGACATGACGATCACCACCAGGTCCATGTCCCCGCCGAGGTGCGGGCAGCGCTCGGGGATCGACACGGTGTGCCCGGCCTCGTAGATGGCGCGCGCCGAGTCGTTGCGAACCGCCACGATCGGCGCCGACCTGGTCACGTTCGCGGCTCTCGCCATCTGGGGCCTCTCGTTCGCGCCGCTCTGCTTGGAGCCGACCAGCGTGCTCACGGAAGACGACGAGGACGAGGACTGCGCGCTGGAGGACGTGGACAGCGTCGTGACGAAGATCAAGGAACTGTTGCTGGCGTTGTGCGCTGCGTACGGGTTCAGCGACATGCCGTCCGAAGTCGAGTTTCTCGACTGGCTGAGATTCACGTGTGCGTGAGGGCCATCCTGGTACGCGGGGTAACCTGAAATTCATTCATTCCGGATAATCATCGGCTTACAAAGAAATGCGTCGAGCCGTACATTGATCACTGTGCTCGAAACAAACGCTACAACCATATCTCAACTAGTAGGTCCACTCTCTGCCGGCCCTTTTGATCTTTGGGATCCCGATCACGTGGTCTCCCGCCATACACCCGGGCAGCGACGCGCGTGTGTGTATACGTACTTATCAAAGTCGCACTACCACACATACAACTTTTCTCTCATTGGTCTGCCCAGAGTAATGTCGGATGCGCAGAAGGAATCGATGCAACACGAAACAAATGACCGAGTGGACCTACTAGTTAATACTATGGCTACAACGATATCTCTTTGCAAGTTCCGTTTGGGACGCCGAGTGGTGCACACGTCTTCTGACCGAAGAAAAAATTTTTCATCATGCGGGGTCGCGTCATCCGATTGAATCATCCCGCGCGTTGCCGGGTCATTACAGTGTTATAAACTTCAGATAATGTATTGTACTCTAATCGACATTGTGGAGACCATTAAGACTACCGGTTCGTCGTGGCCGCGTCAGCTCACGCTGTAGGAGCTGGGGAGCCAAAAAAACCCGAAGAAGAAGAAGAAGAATGATATCTCTAACTGGTCCTTTGACAAAAGAAGGCGCGGAGAAACTTAAGAGCAACGTGAATTTGCAAATTAATCCATTAATCGACGTACGCAGAATCTTTTGTTTTTCTATTCAACGTTCGAATTTGGCGTTCATTAAAAATCGAAGCAGCGGCTTCGGCAATGTCTCCACTGTCAGGAGAGCCCGTGTTCAAGTCGGCGATACTCACTGGTGTTTCGTGGCAAGCTGTACTGGCGAACATCATACACGGCGGTGCGGTAATACGCGTAGAAGGTGAGGCCGACCAGCGCGAGGATCAGGGTCTGCAGAAAACGACTCCTGAGATGCAGGTAGTGGAACATGACGAATGCTTGCTCTGGTCACTCTTCTCTCTCTCTCTCTTTCTCGCTTCCTGTTTTTCTTTTTCCTCGCAACGCGGGTCCGCCGGGACGAGGACTATATCATCGTGTATGTCGCGCGGCGGACGACCTGACGGCCGTCGTCGCTCCCTCGTGGACTCCACCGCGGATCGGAGCACCGCTACGTGCCGCCGTATGACAGTTTATTTCCATACTGCGCGCTGGGCCCCACTCGCCGTCCGTCCGCTCTCGTTCCCTCGCCCGGAATGGAGGGGGAGGGGGGTCGCCGCCGACCCTGAGGACCCGCGCGAGTCCGTTGCGCCCCGCTTCCAAGAAGACGGGCTCGTCCTGCAGGCCTCCTCGCGCTCGTCACATCACACACGGCGCAGGTTGTCGCGCACTCCGACGTTGTCGGGCACTCCGGAGTTCCAATCCGGACTCCGGGGGCCGAGCCACGGCCGAAGGGAAATACGCTTCCGTCGCCAGCAGGCGTCGCGACCGGGCTCCCCTTACCGACCGGGCGCCGTTACCGGCGGTGGCGCGTTCTTTAGTTCCGTCCGCGAAACGCCAGATGGCGCGCCCCGCACTGTTGCACATTACCGTCGGATGATACGCCGCGCCGTCTACTCTTGTTCGTCGTTAGGTATCGCGACGTGTACAGTTTGAATTTCGCGCATTTCGTTATGCGTTATTGCGCGAAAAATGACGGAAGCTGGGGAAAGATATGTGTTTTAAAATATTTCCGCACTAGAGGGTGCTAGTTTCAAAAGTTTGTCGAAAAATGCCGGCGTTACGTTACTGGCAACGACGCCAGATCATTCTGTATGCGTATTTTCTTTCCGATTGTCGTTTATGTATCAGCATATACCCGTCGGAAGCTCGTAGAATGCCGTGAATGTCTAATCTTTAAAAACTAAATCCTTTTTACTTATTAACCTACATTATTTCATAACTGCGTTACTGTTGATTTGCAGTATCACTCGAAAAGGACCCAAAAGAATAGAGTCGAAATGCTGTGTAAAAAATTAATTAAATAACTAGCCAGTTGGGTTGACTATAAGTTACTCGTCTCAATTTTAAATGGGAGAAGACACAAATTAAATTGTGTCATTGTTTCATAGCCAAGACCTCTGACTGAGCCATGGCAATGAGTGTAAGACAATAATTATTTATTTTTTATTTTTGTTAAGTGTAAATCTTTATTGATTGTGTATTTGATGGTTAACATGTTATTATTTTCGTTTTAAAAAAACTATATGTATGTGAGTTGTTATAACCTTATGACATTTAAGAAAATTCTTATAATAAAAGGCAACAATATGTATTGGAAATCACAAAATTTGCCATAACAAATATGAATATTAAAAGTAACATTAGGCTAATATTCGAAAAACTGTTTTAAAACAAAAAGACTTGTTAATTATATTAACAAAATTTTTTCATATTACGTTTGTACTTATGTTAACTAAATGCAATATTTTTATTGCGTTGATATAAGAAAACATATATGTAGAAAGAGTTAAACGTACATAATTGTAACCAGTAGCCAGATAATCCAAAAGATGATAAATATAAAAACCATTCGTAACGTTTGGTGTATCCAATAGAACCTGAAATTTAACATTTTGCCTGTAAGTAGACATTAAATATAATCTAAAATAATTAATCGGAAATTAAGAAAGATCTCTTACCTTTTATGTTTGATGCGACTGATTTCTAAAGTACTATCATCATCTTTCAGTAGAAATAGGCGTATGCCCTTATAATGATCAACTAAATATTTTGTCCAGTCAAATGCGAACATACTGAATTTAAATAAATTCTGATCTTCCTCGCCAAGGTGATCCCACATAGCTTGAACGTTGTCAGTGGAATAACTCCATTCATAATTACAAAAAGGTTCAATGGCTTTGGAACATTTGCCGATCGTCATATATAACTTCAACATTCTAAAATACATACAAAATTATTATAAGTTTTCATATTATTGATGTAATTTTATTTGGTTTCAATGCAAACGATGAGATACATGCAGAGTGGAAACAACAGTTAGGCCGGTGTTCGTAGACAGATCTTATATTTAAGATCGTTTTACGATCACACCTTTTGATACTCCATGGCCAATGAAATATTCCATACAGCATTAAGATAAACTCAAGACGTACTTATATACTCGTATAAGAACTGATTATAAATACCAGTCATAAATTTACGTAATACATACCTCGGTTGACGATTCATACAAATGTTTGCTGCATCCATAAGTAAAGCCGGAAGAAAATGATAGAGCCAAACGCAGATTTTATATGGTATGTCACGTTGCAAGAATGTCATACAGGGGAAATATATGGCTTTATGCATGGGGTATATCTTACTTGTGTCGAGAAGTGCATTAGTGTACTCACTCCAAGTAGGTCTGTCAATTGGTGACACGAAGTTATAAATTAACATATCCTTGTCTTTCCTAGAAAATAAATACAATTCACGTATTTAAATTACGCATTACACTTTTTATTCATCGGAGTCTTATATAATGATATGATAATCTTTATGTATCATAAAATTCATACATAATCGCACGTTAATGTTTACGCCAATATAGCACAACAAGATTGTAGGAATATTGTGACATGCAAACGGACGCGGCAACCATCCGGAAACCATTACGACATTCATTATAGTTATATTTCATTATTGCACGTGACGTTAGTTTGATACCAGCATTAAAATATAAATGTATAAGTGATAAAAAATTATTTCTGAATACGATTAATGTTTGTCATTATTTAGTGACAATTTTTATAATAGCAGAAAAAAATTTTGAGAAATCAGCTACAATGATGTAGATCGTGTACCTTATCATACCTGCATTGATTAAAAATGTCCCAAGCGCTAGCGATTAAAGCGTTTATCGTAAAGTCGACGGGCACTAGGTTTGTTTTGGCGTTGGAATTACAACGTTGAACTCTTGTGATACCAAGTAGCATGCTCGCCGCAACACCCACTGGCCCATATTTATTATCTGTCCATCCGATAAGTGGTTCATTGGCGGTTGTTGAGACTGAAAGAAATCTTAACTGTTGTGGATTTGCGAAGACTAAATTTTGCTAAATGCTACGTATACATCGACATACACATTCATGTACTCGTAATTATTTCTTATTATTTCAAATTATTGTAGAATTTTATAACACAATTGCAAAATAATTTGAAAATTGTTAAATATAAATGTGATTTAATAAATTTCATACTAAAAAGTCGGTTAAATTTCACGATTAATTATTCTGTTACCTGTGCCAGGTCGAAATATTCCAATTGGTAAACCCTGGCCTTCATCTCTGAGAAGCCTCTCTGCCATTGCTTTTGTGAATGTATATGTATTCGGCCATTGTGAGACGATCCTACCAAAATAATAGTTTAACTTTCTACACTGACGTATTGAATTTATAATATTGAGAACGAAAGAAATATATACTTGGTCATTTTTTCCTCCATTTCGTTTTCAGATAAAGTATGCACAAACGAAATGATATCTTTGTAATCAATGGGATATGTGTAAACACGTTCTTCGACATGCTTCATGTTGAAATTCGAATATATTGTTGATACATAAATAAATGACTGCAAGATAAATGACATGAATTAAGACTGCGGAATAAAATGTTAATTAAATTGATTCCAACAACCTATGGCGTTTGCGTACAAAGTAATGTCTTTCTAATTATCTTTATCATTAGCATGTTTATTGTTGGAAGGAAGAATTACCTTTAAGTTTTGCATAAGCTTGACGATGCTCAAAATGGTATTGGTAGCGCAAATATTTACTTGTACATGATGTTTTAATTTTTCAATAAAACGTACATTAGCTGCCATGTGAAAAATGATGGATACCTAAATAAAAATTCGCCATTACATAATAATATTTGAAATATATAGGAAGGGAATGACAGAGAGAGAGAAAGAGAAGAATATTTTATTTCTGTAGTTTCTTTTACGATGGTAAATAGATTTACGTGAAATGGATATCTTTTGTTTGGATGCGTAAGAGTACGTTGTGTGTATGTGTGTGTGTGTGTGTGTGTGTGTGTGTGTGTGTGTGTGTGTGTGTGGGATTAATTTCCATTAAAATAGAATATATGAATAGAATAAATGAGAAAATGATGAGAATAATCTGAATTACCTTATGAATTAGTATATTCTTATCATTTTTCGACAATCCTAAGTTCTCGATTTCGAGATCGCCTACGATGGGCACGACTTTTTTGCGGAAATGGGGTACTTCGTTTTTCACACGGTCAAAAAGCTAGATGTAATAGATTTATTTAACAAAATCCGTCACAAATACATCGTGATTATTTGATATAATTTTCTCTGCACTCACCACACTGTCAAACATTTCATCCAGTCGTCTTTCGGGATTCTTGTCTTTTTTCGAGCGTATCAATATGTATATTGTGGAAATATCGGGACAACTTCGTAACAATTTCTCAATTAAGATCTTTCCAAGAAAACCGGTACCTCCTGCATGACCAAATAATAAAATAATAACATACATATGTATATGTACATGTATGTGTACATATACACATATGTATGTGTGTACTGAGAAAAAGCTTGGAATAAATATAGGGTAGACTGGGTACAGTTGTAACGGGAGGTCGGTTGTAACATTGCGAATAACTTGACAAACGTTCACGATGGCGCACCTCACCCAAGAGATTAGGGGGGCTGACGACATGTACTAACTTGCTCGCTAGTCGTCCACGTCGCAGCGTGCGTGTTGTGTGCGTCAGGAGGAATTGTTATGTTTTTGCGATAAAACGCAAGTACTAGATCGTAAACTATTTTTCATTTCCTTCTTTT